TTATTAATTAACAAGAATGAGTTGATTAAGGTATTTTTTTGTTTAGAAATAAATAATTCACAATATATCTTGTTGTAATAAACATTGTTAGGTATATAGATGATAGAAGAAAGAGAGTGTTAAGTATTTTAAAATGGATGGATATGGAATAAAGAGAGAAAATGAATTTGATTTATATGGAATTTAAAAAAAAGAGCAGTGGAAATAAATACAAGATGAAATGAGAAAAATGTTTGTAAATAGGATTAGTTGAAGATTGTTGATTGATAAGAGTTTTTGAATTATTGTTTAGATTTTTAAAGATATTTATTTATTCAAGAGAGATTATAATAATCTCTTAATATAAAAAATGGGAAATCAATGCACAGGGATTGATGATTTTTAGGGACAATAATTTGCTCCGAATATATCAGTTTAAGATGAAGTGTTTGTTGAAGGAAGAGTTCCTATAGTTGGTTAAAATCCCAGTCGATTTAATGATGATGATATGATAGTAAGCATCATTCTATAAATTTTAGACAGTGTATTAAGGTAATAATAATAGGTTAAACTATGGGAGAAATTCTCTAGGTTAAGGGTATATGACAGCCTAGAAATATAATTTAAAAGATAACATTAGTATAAAAGCATCTTCTCAGGTATAAATGATTCTATAATAATAATTAGGGATTGAGAACTTAAGGAAATGTTGCTTTAATGATAACAATATAAAGCAATGATATTGTGTTGATGAATTAAAGAGGTTAAGAGTGTGTAAGATAAGGAATAGACTTGGTATTTTGTATTTATATTATAGGTTTGTTTAATAGATCATAGTGGCAGTATGTAAGGAGAGAAAATAAAGTTAGTTAGAAAAACTTTAAAGCAGATGTTAACATTTTTATAGCCAGTAGATAGATTATGTTTAATAATGTTTGATTGTAGATGTTATAGATTAACAAGATTAATGAGAGTAACATAAGAAAATGTTAGAAAATTTAGAGTAGCTATATCATCGCTTTAAGCAAGAGGTGGAACTGATATAGGAAATGGTATGAAGATGGCTTTATCTATTTTAAAACATAGAAAATACAAGAATCCAGTTTCAGCTATATTTTTATTATCTGATGGAGTAGATGAAGGTGCAGAAGAAAGAGTAAGAGATGACTTATTATAATATAACATACGTGACTCTTTTACAATAAAAACATTTGGATTTGGTAGAGATTGTTGTCCTAAAATAATGTCAGAAATTGCACATTATAAAGAAGGATAATTTTATTTTGTTCCTAATCTTACTAATATTGATGAATGTTTTGCTGAAGCTTTAGGTGGTTTAGTTTCTGTTGTTGCTAATCATGTTTAATTATCAGTTTAACCTATGAATTCTAATAAAATATAAATTAAGAAAGCATATGGAGATAAATGGACTTATGATTCTTGGAAAGGTGCATTTACACTTTATTAACCACATCTTTTATCTGGTGTTAGAAAAGATTATATTTTTGAAGTTGCTGATTATAAAAATACTGCTAAATAAGAAATTAGAGTACTTTTATAAGCTGATCCTGTTGAAGGAGGAGATAAAGTTACTATTGAATAAATTGTTTCACTTAATAATTAAGATTTATCAAATGAAGTTTTACCTAATTATTATAGAGTTAAAGGTGCTGAATGTTTTGAATAAGCAAGAATTTATGCAGAATAAGGATAATATTAAGCAAGTTAACAAGTTCTTTAAAATATTAATACAGAAATCAAATTATAAAAATTTAATGATCCCAATCTTTAAGTTGTTTAAACTGATCTTGAAATGGCTAGCAATTTTTGTTATCCTGGGTATTTATTATTATCATTTTAAGTTAATTTGAAAATGAAGGTAGACATCATATGCATTAATTACATATTGTTCATATGTATCAAAAATCTAGAGGTGTTTAAATCAATCAAAATTAAGATGGTCAACTTATTGCTCTAGATTGTTAATATTAAAATAATCTACAAAAATAATTCAAAGATTAAACAAGGTAAATTAAATAAAATGATCCTAATTATTGGAATGATTGTTGAGTTATTCAAATGTTTAATTTAAATTTATCTTATTTTTATTTCCTATTGAATCATCTTTTAAAATAAATCAATTCATTCTCTAATTCTCTTATTTTTATCTATTAGCCATTTTTTCCTTGCTTATTCAATTTTATTTAAGTTATTATTTTAATTAATTTAATATAATATATAAGTAATTATAATCTCTTATAAAATTTCGCTTATAAATTTATTTCAATTATTCATATTATCATAATCTCTTTATTTGACAATATTTATTAGTTTTTTCAATAAATTTATCTCTCAACTCTGAAGTAAGATCTTTTAAATCAAAGTACTATCTGAAACTTTATTCAACTAATGAAAGACTCAATTACTCTCTATTGATTATGTACTAAATTATATATCTTTATATAAATTGATTCTTTGAATTAGTTTCAATCTCTGCTCTCACCAACATTTGAGCATTGAATTTCATACCATTATAACATATCAACTAAACTCTTAATTTTTAATTAGAAATGGTATTAGAAATCTAATTTTATATAAATTAATTTTCCAAGTCCCATCCAAATGGAAATGACTAATTTCTAAGTAAATGATGAATCATCATATCCTAATTAATCCCAAACATCTTCAACCAACAATTGTTGACAATCCGATTACAACCAATAATATCTTGATTAGGATTTATGATGAATTCAAATTTTTCTTAAGGGACTTCCATCTATTTTATATTTTCTAAAGTTCTTTATGAATCGAAACTATAAAAATTAGTTGAAACCTAATCTAAATTTATATAAAAAGGAAAGTCTTTCTTGATATCAAACAAACTTGTTTCACTAAAAGGCACACATTTTACAATTAATTCTTGTTTCTATTATTGTAGTGAAACAAATTTAAAAAAATTACTAAATACATCTCTTTCCAATTAACCAATTAAGTGTTAGCCCATATTAGTAGGATTCTATTTTTGTATTTAATATAGTTTTTATATATCTGTAAAGCAAGTTAACTCAAATATATATTTAGTTTCATCTTTGTATAAAGGAGATAATTTCTAATCATTAGCTAAATTCTTATTTTTTGCTGTTGATTTAATTTTCTTTATTTTTTTGATTGTACCAGCCTATTGAAGTTAAAAATCATAATGCTAACTGAATTCATAACTCATTCTTCTGTGAATTTGGTTCAAAAAAAAAATAAAAAAATCAATCTCTAAAATATCATTATATTTAGATTTATGATATGGGCCTAAATAAATGATTTTGCAATTCAAAGTTAAAAAAGATTAAAAAAAAATTCAAATTATAATTAAAGTTTATAAATGCTTAATAATTAAATTTAGATAATTTTATGTTGTTTTTAAAATAATAGCAAAAATAAAATGATAAAAGTATATATAATTTTATTGGTAAGAGAATTATATTTTGAATAATGTAAATTTATAAATTAACGAAATTACGATGAAGTCTTTTTTTTGTAAGAATGATGATAAAAATAATATTTAAATATATTATATGAAAAGATTCTGTAAATTAATCTAATTTTCAGAATCATTCACATATCAAAATTTAATTATTTGAATCCACAATTTCTATTAGATGAAATTGACTAAGAATCTTCTGATACTAATCTTGTTCTTAACTTTTCTTGATTAAACCATTTTTCATTAAAATATTCTTGTTAATTTCGTTTTACTCTTGATTTAGTCAACCATCTTGGATCACAATCATAAATATAATAAGCATATTCATAATATGCATTCTCTTCCTCATTAAAAGTAAAAAAGCTTTTATTCTCAACTCTACAATGAAATATTTAACCATTATAATTCATGACTTCTCTTGTTCGAATATCTGGCTTTACGTTTCCTTCAAACAGTCCAGAAAGTATCTCACATACATCATCATTAGGGTCAATATAAGTTGAAAATGGTAAAATATTAGTTGACAACACATGATCCTCCAACATCAGATAGCTTATTCCTAATAAATCCATAAATTTATCATTGATCACTCTTTAAATTGTTGTACATACACCATTTTTTAATTTGTGTAAATAACATGTAAAAGGCTATTCTAATTACAATTCAAAGTCTTCTATCAATTTTTCTTTCGTTTACATATAAGTATTTGTATCTAAATTTCTATAATTAAAAGCTTAAAAACTCTATGCCAGTCTTGGATTACATGATTAAATTTTTTTTAAAAATTATTCAAATGGTGTAAAGGGATTATCTATTGTTTCAAGAGTGAATATAGTTAAATTCGTTTTCTTATCAATTCTAATTACTTTATAATTATAAGAGTGAGGATCAACTGACAAACAACCTAATTTAACTTATTATTTGTAATCATTTGGAAACTAAATGTTGGAGTAAAGTCTTATAACTTATTTTTCTGCTATTGATGCAGGGATATTGAAATAAACTTCAACATAGTCTCTAAGTTTGTCTGTATTAATATTTGATCCAAATTTAAATTCCACTGTATATTAATTCCTTCTTTTTGGTTTACGAATAGTTTTCTTTTGTAAACAACTGCTTTCTTCCACAATTTCCAAGTAATTTTTAGCTATAATTGACATTATAATAATTAATTTGTAATTAAATACATCATAACACTTAAGATCTTATAGATTATAAATAAATCAAGAGAACCATTATAATCACAATTTAATAAAATTTAATATTATCAATATTATATAAATTTATAAAAAGCCATAATAATCATTGTTTACTAAATTCTTAATCAATTACAAAGCATTTTTTTTGGCAACATTTTAACTTTTTTTATTTCCTTTTCAAAATTTTTGGAGGTTTTTAAAGTAATGGAGATCAAAACTAAATGTAGGTTTCTTCCTAAATAGGCAATAATTTAATTAATTTAATTAAATGAATAATATAATTAAAAGCAATTTCTCAAATAAATTTTATTTTGTTTTGTTTAGTAGAAACTTAAGAGTAGGCTTAAACTAATTAATTTTTTAATTTAGTTAAGCAATAAGATCTAAACTTTCTTCAATAAAATAATTATTGCTTTAATTCAAAATACATTGAGAAGCAAAGATTAAAGAATCAATGTAAACTAATTATTTTATTCTTTATTTCTCATTATCTAATTCTAAACTAATTTTATGTCAACCTTAGTTTTATTTTAGTTTAGTCTTTACTTAGACTTTTTAATTAAAGAACCAAAAAATTAATTTATTGACTAATTAACATAATCTCATTGACATTAAGTTGCTTATTAAGTTTTATTAGGATAAATAAAATACTTCAATCAATAAGTTTAGAATAAAAAAAAATAATAATAATAATAATAAAATAAATATATGTCAACTCTGATGAAATAACCCATAATTAAATTAACATTTAAATGTTAGCAAAATTATTATATTGGCATTAGTAATTTGAAGAAATTTATTCTAATTTGCAGAATAAATATGAATTATTTTAATTAAAAAACACATAATTTATGCAAAGAATACGAAAATATATCTTAAGATAGTAATAAAATCTAGGTTTAAATTAAAACAGATAGAACTGCTTGTATATAAATATAAGAAGAAAGCCTGAAATTTGAAATTGAATTCCGTTGATGAGGAAAATTAGAATTTAATTTATACTTATAAAAACGAAATAATCAGAATAAAAAAAATTGAATAAATTTAAATTAGTATAGATGTCTCCTATAGAAATCAAATTTTTCAATATAAAACAGAAAAGTTAGAGCATGAAACTTTAATTGTCGAATACTAAAAATAATATTTTGAATACTGAATTTAAACTATAATTTTGCCTATATATTATATTAAATAAAATAAAAGTTAGTATAATCTAGTGTTATGCATTAATATAATAAATTACATATTTCATTTATGAAATTTATCAAATTGTGTTAATGAAGTTTCTAATTAGTCCTTCTATTTTTCAAAATGATATTTGGGTATTAATCCTATTGTTGTTCCAATTTTATATGATCCAGGACCAACATCTTCTGGTTCTCTAATAGGAAATCGAGCAGCTTTGGGCATACTAAAATTAGATAAATGAATACCTAATTCTTGGACCAGATTAAGATGGTAGAGTAGTATAGCTTCCAGGACCGATTTCTTTAAATTTTGAAATGGTTGGATCACTTCTGTTACTTAATCCCATTTAAGGAATAGCAGTCTTTGGAACTGTATAATGATAAGGAGGTTTATAGTTAGATTGCTGACCATATTTGAAATCATAATCAGGTTCATATTAACCAGGTGAAGGATTTTAATTAATAGTTTATTTTTCGTTTTTTTATCTCATAGAATATTTAGGACCACCAAGCGTTGAAAATCCAATATTTTCTCTTTCTTCTAATTTTTATTATTCAGATTTTTCTGGAATTTATAAATTATCATTTTCTGCTAATTCGTATCTTTTAGCTACCCCAAATCCATGTTAATTTTCAATAGGAACATCTTTAGATTTAATAGTATCTGTATTTTATATATATTAACCAGGTCCTGGTTTAAGTGTAGATTCTCTAGTAACAAGATCTTATCTTTTGTCTTTAGGCATTGATATTAATTTACTATTTTATGGTAATTTTTAATTATAAGCTAAATAATATAAATTAGGTACTTCCAGGACCAGGAACATAAAAATCTGATGTTTTAAAAGGAATATATTTATGACCAATACTAAAAGCTTTCTTAACATTAACATTCTTAGGTGCATAAGTACCAGGACCAGGAATATCAGTTGTTTTATAATATTATCTTTCACTTTTTGGAAATGATATTGTTAAACCTTTAGCAAGTTCATTAGGTTAATATTATCCAGGACCAAGATCTATTGATTTTGGCCAAACATTTTTAGGTGCTGAACCAAATCCATTTTTTCTATTTTTTGTGTCTTACCAACTTGTTGTTGTTCTAAATTAACTGAATGTTTCTGAATTATAATATTTATCAGGTGAAGGTCCATCTTTTGTCCAATTAAAAGTTTCTTTATATCCAAATGAAATTGGAACCTAAGATCTACCAGGAATGTTTGGATTATATGAACCAGGACTTATAAATATATATCAATTATAATACCCTATAGGATCTTCTCTAAATTATTACTCTTTCCCATTTACCCAAGTAGGATGTGTATCAATTTCTCCATTTGGTTTTATTTTACCTAAACTTGTTTGAATTGTAAATTAAGCCTTTTTTTTTTCTTGTTATGTTTTATCCTAAATATTCTTAATATTTTCTTCATCCAAAATGAGTTACTTGTGTAAATTATATTTTCCCACAGGAGGATTAGATGATTTTATTGGTTTGATTCTGTCATCCCTTGAAAAATTCGATCTTGTTGATTGTTATTAACTTTTTCGTAATTTTTCAGTACTATGTTTCTTTGTAAAACTCCCACATAATTCAACTTCTGTTTTTGATGCAATTATATCATCTCTTTTCACCCAATCTGTTCTCTCAGATTAACCAAATGTGTAAGCCCCACCAAACTAATATCCTAAAGGAGTATTTCCCTAAAAGTTCTAATCACTATTATTAAAAAACATATTATTTATTCAAATAAATAATTATAAATCAATTTATTATCAAAATCTTCATAATTTATTACTCTTGATGTTTTATTTACTCTTTAGTATTCATTTATCTAACAATTCATTCTAAAATATTTAAAAAATATATATCTCCTCTTTGAGATCTATTAAATTAGTTAGTTTTTATCTTTCTTTTACTGTACACTAAAAGTTCTTAGATACTAATAAATCAATAATTCATATTATAAAAGTTTAAATCTAAAAATAGCTATTGCTTTACATTATTCAAATAACCTAATTTATATTCAATCGTCTAATATATTAAATTTTTTTTGTACATGCCATATAATTATTTTGGCAGACTCTGTTTATGCAGAAGCCAAATAATAATTAAACTATCCTAAATAAAATTTAAGAGATTTTATCAAATTATCTGAGTATTCAAAATATTTATTTACCTCTGAGTTAATATTTGATTAATTACATGTATGGTTGGGTTAAATTCTTCTTAAAATAATAGGATGAAATCAGATTTTTCAGATCAATTTAGAGTAATTTATAAATTTATTGTTCTATTTCTATTCTTTTATTTATTTATCTATTAGGTTTGAACAACTAAAGCTCTTGAAAAAAGGAAAATGAATTTCATTCTACTTTTAAGTTGAGATTTTTATAAACTTTTCTATTTTTAATCTCATTATATTCTATATTATTTCCCTAGAAATTTGGATATCTAATTTTTAATTTCAAAATTTTAAAATTCACTCTAGTTCTGTTTAGTTATAATATTGATGATTGTCATGTTATTATGAACTTTTAATTTTTGGATTTGATATTTATTTATAATAAGAAGGATATTAAGGAAAATGAGAAAAAGTTTAATTTTTTGTTCTTTGATGTTGATTTTATATTTGATTAAAATTTTCTTTTTTTAATTGACCATAAATAATGGACATAGTAGGAGTAATCTATTTTATAATCATTAGAACGTGTTGCCATAGGTTTTAAAGGATGAAGCTACAGAGGACAAAGGTGAGATGGCTAGATTGGTAATATTAGTATTTAAAAATTTAAGTAAAGTTTTGTAGGCGCAATTGCAGTGGCTGATTTGGTAAAAACAACATTGGGCCCAAAGGGAATGGTATGATTTTGATTATTAATAGATAGGATAAAATATTAAAACCAACAGGACCTGGTTAAGAGATGACTCATATCACTGTTACTAATGATGGTGCAACCATACTAAAATCAATGTATGTTGAAAACCCAGCAGCTAAAATTTTAATTGAAATAAGCAAAACTCAAGATGAGGAAGTAGGAGATGGAACAACAACAGTTGCAGTATTGGCAGGTGAATTATTAAGGGAAGGAGAAAAATTAATTTAAAAAAGAATTCATCCATAATAAGTTATAGCAGGATGGAGAATAGCTAGGGATGTCGCATTAAAGAGATTAAGAGATATTTGTAATTATAATTGAAAGTATATTTTTAGCAACTGAAAATGATATTGAATCTTAAGAATTCCATAATGATTTAATCAAAATTGCGAAAACAACTTTAAGTTCTAAATTAATCACTACAGACAGAGATTATTTTGCTGATTTATGTGTTAAGGCTGTTTTAAGATTGAAAGGCTCTTCAAATTTAGATTATATTCAAATTATTAAAATTCCAGGAGGAACTATAAGAGATTCATATTTGGATGATGGATTCATTCTAAAAAAACAAATCACCATTGGATGTAAAAGAAGAATTGAAAATGCCAAAATCCTAGTTGCTAATACAGCCATGGATTATGATAAAATTAAGATTTATGGAACTAAGGTCAAAGTTAATTCTATGGATAAAGTTGCAGAAATTGAAGCAGCAGAAAAAGAAAAAATGAAACATAAAGTTGATAAGATTCTTTAATATTAACCAACAGTATTTGTTAATAGATAACTTATTTATAACTACCCTGAATAATTATTAGCTGATGCTGGAATTACTGTTATTGAGCATGCTGATTTTGAAGGTATGGAAAGAGTTGCAGCTGCTACAGGAGCTGAAATCTTATCAACTTTTGATGCTCCTGAAAGAAGAGATTAGATTTTGGGAAATTGTGAATTAATTGAAGAAATTATGATAGGAGAAGAGAAGGTAAAATAATTAATTGTATTTTAATAGATGATTAAATTTTCAGGATGCAAAAAAAATGAAGCTTGCACGATAGTATTGAGAGGATCTTCTATTCATATTTTAGATGAAGTGGATAGATCAATTCATGATGTTTTGTGCGTTTTAATAACTACAGTAAAGAATAGAAGAGTAGTTTGGGGTGGGGGTAATTCAGAAATGCAAATGGCAGCTGCTTGCGATGAAGAAGCAAAAAGAGTTTAGGGAAAATAAGCTTTAGCCATAGAAGCATATGCAAGAGCATTGAGATAATTACCTACAATAATTTGTGATAATGGAGGTATAATATAGATTGATAAAATAAGGATATGATTCAGCTGAATTAGTATAGAATTTCAAAGTAGAATTAGAGAAAGGAAACTTAAGTTATGGATTGAATATGAATGATGGAAGTATTGGAGACATGAAAGAGCTTGGAGTAAAGGAATGTATGAGAGTAAAAGAACAAGCATTATTAGCTGCAAGTGAAGCAGCTGAATTAATAATGAGAGTAGATGATATTGTAAAATGTGCCCCAAGAAAAAGAGAAAGAGCATGAGATTAATTTATTAAATATTTAATAAGATTAAATAAACAATTGAATTATAATGAAAGATCTAAAATCAATAATCATACTAATAATTTAGAAGATTTCGGAGTGATGGAGGAAATGGGAGGCTTGTCCAATCTAGAAGTTGATTGATCGGAAACAATCATAAGGTTGTTCTATGAAGATTATTATTTAGAACTATCATAATCATAAACATTAAATAAATCTAGAAAAGGATAAAATTTGAATATACTTTAAATTGAATTTCGTCTTAATAGTATTTATTATTCTTAATTAAGAGAATCATCTGAATCTTTCCTACCATCTGAAGGCAAATAATTATCTTCATTGCACTTAATAAAAATAATAAAAGAGTTACATTAGGAACAAATGGAGAAATCATCATTTTATTTTCTAATTTCTACCAATTAAAATCTTTAAACCAAGGATGTTATTTAACTTCATCTGGACCATTTGTACCTAATCTATTTTATGGTTTTCTTTAAAGTAACTATGATATACATAAAATATTCACTGAATTAGCAAAATCACCTGCTTAAATATTCCATCCTGGTGGAATTTCTTGTCTTTTTATTGCTACTTATTTTGATAACATTTATTCTCTTATTTCTTATCTACTTCTTCCTAAATATGGTCTTCTTCCCAACATGCATTCGTATACAATTACTCCTAAAGCAAAGTAATCAACTGCTATTCCATGATTATGTCGACACATAACTTCTGGAGCCATGTAACCAGGTGTACCACTTGTATCCCCTGAATTCTCAGGTTTCCAAATTCTTGCTATTCCCAAATCTGTTAATCTTAAATAACCTCACTCTACTTTCTAAACCAATTACCACTGCTATCAAAAACTAAATTCTCAGGCTTTAAGTCTCTATGTAGTATCCCATTCTAATGCAAATATTCTAAGGCTATTATTATACATGCAGCAAAAAATTCTAATTCAAATTTCAAATTCTACTTGTTTATTCTTCATTAAATCTTCTTAACCTTCCTATATGAAATCTCAAATCTCCTCCTGTTAGCAAATCCATCACTAAATATAAATATTCCTTATCTTAAAATGCACTTTGCATGTTTATCAAAAATCTTAAAACCATAATATAATCATTTACCCATGTCTTAAATTACTAAGTAATTATCTCTCATTTATAACTGACTATACAGACTTCTTTTAAATAATTCTACAAATACACTCATTTTATTTACTTTGCTTTAGACATCACTTTCAATGCATAAAATAATTTATTTTTCTTCTTTTTCACCTTCCATACTTTACCAAATCCACCCCTACCAATAGCATCAATAAACTAAAAGTTAGATATAGAAGTAACTTTTTATAATTGATATAATTACTATTGCTTTCCAGTTAATCCTCTTATTTTTCATTTATATTACAATTTCCCATTTATTTATTATAAATTAATTTGAAGTTTTATTCATCTCTTATCAATTACAATTAAATTTAACACTGCAAAACTTCGAAATTAAAAACGAATTAAATTAATATTTTATGATTCTATTTTCAGCCATTTCAAAAGGATCCCTGATTTTATGTGAATATACTGAATCAAATGAAGATTTCTCTTCATTAATTATGAAATAGCTCAAATTCATTAAAAATAAAGAAGAGAAACAACAATTCGAAATTGTATTTTCAATTCTTTATTTGAACCTAGAACTAATATATTATGTATTTACTTCAAAGAAACCAATATAATTTTATGTGCATGATGCAAATCACTGAAAAAAATAAACTTTAAGATTAGCAGACATTTGCATATAGTTTTCTAAAAGACATTTCTGAAAAATTTTTATAAGTGGCTTAATGTAAGTTTTGAAATTAACAGGAGCTTAAGAAGACAAGGGTCAATTCACAAAAGTTATTGCAGAAATAATGAGTTAATATAATTCAAAAATTGAAAACAATGCTGACCAATAGAAAGTAAATATTTAAGAGTATATAAAAATATATTTTTTTTTATAGAATACAAAACCAATAATTATTCAATACATAAGTTTCTCAGGAAATTTAAATCAATGAAATAAAAGACAAATACGGTTATAGTGTAAATACTTGTAAATCAATCTTTTTTGTTATTAACCTATTTCTTGCTGGAATCCTTGTTGAATTGTTTACTAAATTTGATAAATATTTATGAATTTGTGTCTAAAAAGCTTTATAAAAAAAGAAAAAATTATTATTAGAAACAAGAATTTAAATTTTTTATGCTTTTTAAGCTTAAAAATCTCATTAATCTAGTAAATTAAATATACTAAATTCAATTCCATCGCTAAAAAAATAATCTAAAATTTATTTATTTGAGTTTGTTAATTGAAAAAAAATAAAAATTAATATATAGATTAATTTAATTTAATGATTTTGCTTAACAATATATATAAGTATAATGAGTGAAATTTTTAAGGAAAAAGCTCTTACAGAAACTACATAAGGGAGAAGATACAAAGATCTTAAAAGTAATTGCAATTAAAAAATATCTAGTTAACGTTAATGAAAAATATTTGATCTTTCTAAAATGTAAAAATAGCTTGAATTAGAGATAGCTACAATAAAAGATTGAAGGCATCTTATTTTAGCAAAAATAATAGATAGCTTTAATCTACCTCTTAAAAATATGTTAAAAAAAAACATAATAAAGTTATGATTTTAGAAAGGTGTNTCAATTACAATTAAATTTAACACTGCAAAACTTCGAAATTAAAAACGAATTAAATTAATATTTTATGATTCTATTTTCAGCCATTTCAAAAGGATCCCTGATTTTATGTGAATATACTGAATCAAATGAAGATTTCTCTTCATTAATTATGAAATAGCTCAAATTCATTAAAAATAAAGAAGAGAAACAACAATTCGAAATTGTATTTTCAATTCTTTATTTGAACCTAGAACTAATATATTATGTATTTACTTCAAAGAAACCAATATAATTTTATGTGCATGATGCAAATCACTGAAAAAAATAAACTTTAAGATTAGCAGACATTTGCATATAGTTTTCTAAAAGACATTTCTGAAAAATTTTTATAAGTGGCTTAATGTAAGTTTTGAAATTAACAGGAGCTTAAGAAGACAAGGGTCAATTCACAAAAGTTATTGCAGAAATAATGAGTTAATATAATTCAAAAATTGAAAACAATGCTGACCAATAGAAAGTAAATATTTAAGAGTATATAAAAATATATTTTTTTTTATAGAATACAAAACCAATAATTATTCAATACATAAGTTTCTCAGGAAATTTAAATCAATGAAATAAAAGACAAATACGGTTATAGTGTAAATACTTGTAAATCAATCTTTTTTGTTATTAACCTATTTCTTGCTGGAATCCTTGTTGAATTGTTTACTAAATTTGATAAATATTTATGAATTTGTGTCTAAAAAGCTTTATAAAAAAAGAAAAAATTATTATTAGAAACAAGAATTTAAATTTTTTATGCTTTTTAAGCTTAAAAATCTCATTAATCTAGTAAATTAAATATACTAAATTCAATTCCATCGCTAAAAAAATAATCTAAAATTTATTTATTTGAGTTTGTTAATTGAAAAAAAATAAAAATTAATATATAGATTAATTTAATTTAATGATTTTGCTTAACAATATATATAAGTATAATGAGTGAAATTTTTAAGGAAAAAGCTCTTACAGAAACTACATAAGGGAGAAGATACAAAGATCTTAAAAGTAATTGCAATTAAAAAATATCTAGTTAACGTTAATGAAAAATATTTGATCTTTCTAAAATGTAAAAATAGCTTGAATTAGAGATAGCTACAATAAAAGATTGAAGGCATCTTATTTTAGCAAAAATAATAGATAGCTTTAATCTACCTCTTAAAAATATGTTAAAAAAAAACATAATAAAGTTATGATTTTAGAAAGGTGTAATGATGCCTTCATGTAGGTGAATAATAAGCTAGAGCAGAATACTCGATTGTTGGAAATTTTTCATAGAGATTTTAAACTTCCTAATTGATTGACAAAAAGATGTTTATTTAGGTTGTTAATTTTAATTAGTAGAAAAAGCCAATATTAAAGTTAGATAAAAATTGATTTATTTTTTGGAATTCTAAGTATGAAGCTCTTAAAAAATTTCGAAGTGAAACTTTTTACTACAAAAAGTGAGATATATTAAATTAGAATTATGGCTTATGTATCAATTTTAGACAATTCTTTTGGTTTAGTAAAGCAGGGATGAAAAAAATTTTAAAAACATTAAAATATTCTTTTAAGATTTCTTGTTGATATTAAAGTATCTATCTATAGATTAGAATTTTTAGGAAGATGTTTAGACTTTGATGAAAATACATTAAAAAAATTAAAAATAAGTTTTAAGCTTTCAAGAAAGTTAAAAAAATACAGTTTAATCCCGGATTGTAAAGAGCATAGAAAAAAATTGATTTTAAGATTACAGAAAAAAAGACGATTAAGTTATTTCACTATTGAAATTACAGAAGTTCTTAAAATATTTAATAAAAATTATAATAGAGAACTTCCTTTTACAGAGCTCAAAGAGTAATTAGTGGAAGGCACTTAATTTTACTCATCATTTGATCTTTATAAAGAGTAATTTTATTAATTTAATTTATCTTAGAAATCATTTAGTTGTGTAAATAGGATAGTCAGTAAGTAGATTTCAATAATTTTAATAACAATTTGATTAAGAAATTTGTAAACATATTGATAGAGTAAGCACGATTGAAATAGAAAAAAAATCATGTTTAAATTAGTAAATAAATCAAGTAGTCAAGGAATTCTAATTTTTGAATTGAGTAAATGTTTTAATGATAAATTAATCTTAAGTATTTGCAATTATAATAAAAAAATTATCATGCAATAGTCTTAGTGTAGGTTGATTTCAGACGAAAGTTTCTTTAAATTAATTCTTTATCTATTTTTTATTATAGAGATTTATTGGTCTGAATATTACAACCATTAATTTATGGATTAAAGTGTTTATTAGTGTTTAATTGATTATGGTTTTTTTAGATGAATTTATAGTAATCTGACCATGAGAATGGCTCTTTTTACTTAATTTAAACAATCTATTTGATTTTGTTTTTGTTTGTTTATACTTTTAAAGTAATTTGTTTATAATAATTATTATTATTCTAAATTGTTTGATTTTTGTTTATTTATATACTCTTCATCTTATCCATAATATTTTTATAAGCTGCTGTTTGATTAGTAAATCCTAAATCTTGAAATTATGTATGACAACTTCCAGCTCTATCATGAAATGGAAGTGCAATTTGAACTGTTTATTAAGTTTCATTTGAACGTTGTCTACTTTAAGTTCGAGATTAAGGAAGTTTAATTTTAATTGATTTAGTTTTTCTTTCTTATTATTAAACTTCTTTTATTTTTGGGGATAATTGAAGAAAATTATCTTGATTTTCATCCCAAGGTTCAACAAAAAAATCCTTTTCGTAATAAGAAGATCTATGTTTAATTGGCTTTATAAATTCTATAGCTGAATCAAGATTAAGTAAATTAGTTTTAGGGTCTTCTAAATTTTATTAATCATTTTCTAACATTTATTTATTATTGAGAATAAAGAGGAGAAAAGAACTTATTCATTAATTTTTATCTTGAAAGGAAAATAAAATAGACAATCATATGTATATTGAAATAGTAAAGTAATTAATTTTTAATTATTTTTGATGTTTTTTCATCTTTCTACTAAGTGTGGAGATAAAATAGATGATAGCAATGTAAGCTGAAGACCTTCATATAGGAAACGTCTTTAATAAGTGATTCAATTCTCTTAATCATCGGATTATTAGTTTTTAATGAATTGTTGCTCCAAACCATTGCTAACAAAAAAAATAAATATCCTTTCTTAAAATATATTAATGACACTATTATAACTACATCCATAGGGTTAATAATAGGATATGCTTTAACTTTTTCTAAATCCGGAAAACAGATAATGATGACTATGAAAATGGGATTTAGTTAACTTTTTTTAATAATATTGCTACCACCAATTTTATTTGAAAGGTAATAAGATTTTTATTGTTTAAGTGCCATTCATATGGATTCTGTAACTTTTTTTGAACATTTCGGTACTATCAATATGTATGCTATTTTTGGCACTATAATATCGATGATAATAACTTCTTTTTTCATTTTTATATGTGGTGCTTTAGGTTTTGCTAAGGAACTTGAATTGTCTAAATGTTTTGCATTTGGAGCAATAATATCTTCAACAGATCCTGTGGCTGTTTTGAGTGCTTTTAAAAATATGAAATAATCTAAAATGTTGTATACATTTATTTTTGGAGAAAGCATACTTAATGATGCAGTATCTTTAACTTTATTTAAGTATAAAGATTAAATATATATATTAATAGTGCAGTTAATGAAATAATCAATTAAGAAACAAGTGATTTGTTGAAAGTAATCAGTTAATTTCTATTAATATTTTTTGTATCTATATCAATAGGTTATGCAATGGGAATATTGAGTGCTTTTGTAATAAGATTCAAAAAGTAAGCTATAGCTAATTTTGAAGCTTCTTTGCTTTTATTATTACCTTGGATTACTTATCTTATTTCAGAGGCACTAGAAATGTCGGGAATTGTAAGCATAATGTTTTGTGGTATTTCAATGGCAAGATACACAATTCCAAATACAAATTAATAATCAAAAAAAGAATTTACTAAATTTTATGAAATAATTGCTCATATTTTTGAAAATTCAGTGTTTATATTTATAGGAATAGGAGTAATTGGTTTTGATTTACCTTGGTAAGCTACTGGATTTGGAATAATTTTCTCAACATTTTTGGCAATAAATATTTCAAGATACTTCTTTGTTTAAGTAATAACAAAATTTGCAAATCATTTTCGAACTATTCATGTGATAAATGAATATTAAAGCAATATGTTATGGTTTAGTGGATTAAGAGGAGCTATGGCATATGCTCTTTCAATTTAAACTATCTTACTTTATGGTTCAATAGGCGAAGTACTCTTAACTATTTCTGTAGTGATAATCATGCTTAATGTATTTATTAAATATTTATTTAGATTTATATTCAAGGAATGTTGTTAAGCCCAATACTAACAAAATATAGTCAAAATCTTGTTGAGAATTATGAAGTTGAAGATTTAGAGAGATCTAAAAATATCTTTAAATAGATTAAGGAAGGAATCAGTTAAATCGATAACNNTTTTTTAATAATATTGCTACCACCAATTTTATTTGAAAGGTAATAAGATTTTTATTGTTTAAGTGCCATTCATATGGATTCTGTAACTTTTTTTGAACATTTCGGTACTATCAATATGTATGCTATTTTTGGCACTATAATATCGATGATAATAACTTCTTTTTTCATTTTTATATGTGGTGCTTTAGGTTTTGCTAAGGAACTTGAATTGTCTAAATGTTTTGCATTTGGAGCAATAATATCTTCAACAGATCCTGTGGCTGTTTTGAGTGCTTTTAAAAATATGAAATAATCTAAAATGTTGTATACATTTATTTTTGGAGAAAGCATACTTAATGATGCAGTATCTTTAACTTTATTTAAGTATAAAGATTAAATATATATATTAATAGTGCAGTTAATGAAATAATCAATTAAGAAACAAGTGATTTGTTGAAAGTAATCAGTTAATTTCTATTAATATTTTTTGTATCTATATCAATAGGTTATGCAATGGGAATATTGAGTGCTTTTGTAATAAGATTCAAAAAGTAAGCTATAGCTAATTTTGAAGCTTCTTTGCTTTTATTATTACCTTGGATTACTTATCTTATTTCAGAGGCACTAGAAATGTCGGGAATTGTAAGCATAATGTTTTGTGGTATTTCAATGGCAAGATACACAATTCCAAATACAAATTAATAATCAAAAAAAGAATTTACTAAATTTTATGAAATAATTGCTCATATTTTTGAAAATTCAGTGTTTATATTTATAGGAATAGGAGTAATTGGTTTTGATTTACCTTGGTAAGCTACTGGATTTGGAATAATTTTCTCAACATTTTTGGCAATAAATATTTCAAGATACTTCTTTGTTTAAGTAATAACAAAATTTGCAAATCATTTTCGAACTATTCATGTGATAAATGAATATTAAAGCAATATGTTATGGTTTAGTGGATTAAGAGGAGCTATGGCATATGCTCTTTCAATTTAAACTATCTTACTTTATGGTTCAATAGGCGAAGTACTCTTAACTATTTCTGTAGTGATAATCATGCTTAATGTATTTATTAAATATTTATTTAGATTTATATTCAAGGAATGTTGTTAAGCCCAATACTAACAAAATATAGTCAAAATCTTGTTGAGAATTATGAAGTTGAAGATTTAGAGAGATCTAAAAATATCTTTAAATAGATTAAGGAAGGAATCAGTTAAATCGATAACCTATTTATATAAATTTGTCTTTCTGAAAACAATGATGAAGAAGTTCCTTTATGTATTATATATATAATATTTAGCAAATGGAATATAAGGAGTAGAAGTTGATAATTGAAGATTAGAAAATGAATCTTATTGTATCTATGTTATTATTTTAATAAAATTCTAAATTATTATTGGGTCTCATAATTTATTTATTAATAATGATTCATGGTCCTAATTCTTAATTTTCAGGTGCTTTTACTTTAGGCAAAAGATATGAATGTAATATTTTTTTTTTATTTTAGGTGCCATATATTAAAGTAATCCAAATCCTGGGTAAATTATTTAATCAAATTAGACCTAATCATTATTCTGTCAATCCCTTAGACAAACCTATAGGATATAAATTTTCTAAATCTAACAGAAAACCACTTTATTAAGCTCGTATAGCTCCTGATCCTGGAACTTATGAAAATAAAATTCAGGCATCTATTAGTATAAGTTTTTATAGGCAATTTTACCTCATCCATCTTCAGTTGTATTTACTAAATCAAAGGAGACTTCTCTTAAAGATACTGAAATAGGACCAGGATCATATAATTTATTTGATTAAAAAAAAGCACCTGCATTTACTTTTTAGAGTAGATTTGATTCTATAGGAAATGAAATTATGAAAACACCTGGACCTGGAAATTATGAAATAGAACATTAATTAATTTATAGACCAAAAAATAAAGGATTCTCTACTAGTTAAAGAACAAATATACTTTTATCAAATCATCCAGGACCTGGTTCTTATGAAATAGAAAAACCAAAATTTTTAACAAATATTAAGTAAGCTATTAATATTTATCAAAGATTTCCAAAATCATAAAGAAATATGAATTGGAGTTAGATAGGACCAGGTCCAGGATCATTTGATCTTAATTTACCTTAAAATTAAGGTTTTACTTTTGGATGCAAAACTAATTAATAAATTGATAGATTAAATGTTCCAGGACCAGGTAGTTATGATGCAGAGGTTGCAGATGGAAAATTCAAAAGAATTCCAGGTATAAAGTAAAACAAAATTTTTAATCAAAGAATAGGAAAATCTGAAAGAAATAGTTAAAATTTTTAAAAAATTGGTCCATCTCCACTTGATTATAATGTTACTAATTATAAGTATCCAACCAGACATGCAAGGTATTAAATGAATATATAAAATAATAATTATAGCTTTAATAAAGCAAAGAGATCATCTATGATAACAACAGAAAGAACACCAGGACCAGGAGCTTATATAATTGAATCAAAATTTAAGAAGAATGGACCTATTATTCCAAAAGCTTCTAAAGATGAAATTCATTTGGAAAATTTACCAGTTTATATTTAAATTTATTTTAGGGGCCAGGAAAGTATAATCCCAATAATTCAATAATTTCTAATAAAGCTCCTTGTTATCAAATTGCATAAAAATATCATAAAACTTAAGAATCAAGTATGTTAGGACCTGGCAGATATGATATCTAAAGAGATATAAATGATGGACCTAAATACACATTTCCCACTCTTGAAAAAAGTATGGAAAAAAAATCTATTGATTTAAATTAGTAAGAATTAATAATAAAAATAGATCACATTGTTATGAAATTTAATAAACCATTGGATATATACCTTAATATATTCTTCACAATTGATTATATTTACATTCATTTAAAGTAAATTAATTTTATCATGATTAATTTCAAAATCAATAAATCAAAGAATAATACAAAAAAAGGATTCTTATATATATATTATAATATAAATTTAATTTTTTTATATAGATGAGTAAAACAAGTAATCCACCTTCTAAAAGCTTTAAATTATTTTCTAACAATAATAATAAATCAAAACTTGATACAACAACCTCTACTATTAATAATGTCAGTATGGTTAAAAAAGAAGCCAAATAATACGGAAATCAATTTTCATAATAATAATCAGCACGATAAAGAACACAATCAATTTAAAAAAAAGAAAGTATAAGTAAAGAAAAATTGTAGCCTTAAAAACAGTATGAATAATAGTTGAAATAATTAGTTTAGACCCTCATAAGAAATTAGTGACAAATCCTAACTCAAGTGCTGAAAGAGCTGTAAATAAATAAAGAACTTTATCTAATTCAATTTCAAATAGAACATCTACTTTGAGTCCTCAATAAAGAATTAAACCAATAACTGCTAAAAATAGCACTCAATTATAATAGTAATAATAATAATTGAATAATTCAAATCAATAACCTACTCCAAGATCTGTGAAAAAGTAAATTTTCAATTCACAAAATGTTAAAGATATAAAAAATAATAATAGTAGTATAATTGGCAAAATGAAACCTAATTATGAAAAAGGCAAAATCTTACCATTTAAAAAAGAGAGTCCTGCTATAAAATTACATAAATAAGATATGAATACCATATCAACTTAATCTATTTAAACTAGATCTTCAAAACAAAGTCTAAGTGTTCATAAATCATTAACTATTAATAAAATGGATGACTTATTCTAAAGATCTAAAACTCCTTAAAATAAAAACAAACCAAATGATCCTTATTATGTACTTTTATTCTCATTATTTAGTGTTTAGTTAGACCATTGTTTAAAGATGCAAAATATTATTAAACTTCATTGATTCATTTTCATTATGAACAAGTAAAAAATAAATATTCTCCTTATAAAATTCATTTTGAATTGGAATATTAAACAAATTAATTAAAAGAGTATTTTAATGAACTATTTTGTGAACATTTTTAATAGTCTTTTACTTGTTTACAATATTGTAAAAGATTATCTTAAACATTGAAATAAAATAATAAGATTCAATATTTACCTCCGATAGCAAATCATACAAGAACTTTAGTATTTGATTTAGATGAAACTCTCTTACATTGTAATGAAAATGTTAATGATTCAACTGATCATACAATTATGATCAAAATGCCTAATGAAGGTATGGTTGAGGTAATTATTTATATAGAATTTAGACTAAAATTAATATAAGACCATATTGTTAATAAATGTTGAAAATATTATCTAATCACTTTGAACTTATATTATTTACAGCAGGTTATCAATATTATGCTGATAAAGCAGTAGACTTGATTGATCCAGATAGAAAATTGTTTTAATATAGGTTTTATAGAGAAAGTTGTTTAGAAATAGAAGATGGATTATTTATTAAAGATTTAAAAGTTATTGGAAATCGTTAAATTGAAGTAAATTATTAATAATATTTTTCTTAGAATATGTTGTTAATTGATAATGCTCCTTATTCATATTGTTATTAAATCGATAATGGGATTCCTATTATTCCCTTTTATGATAATAAATATGATAAAGAATTAGTGTTTTTAACTGATTATTTACTAAACTTATAAAAATGTAATTAGTGGACATATGCAAATAAAGTACATTTTAGAACCTATTTATATTAATAATGTCTTTCTGGGGAAGAATGCCTAAGAGAAATGTTTAAAGCTCATGATACATTAACATATTGATTAATATAATAATTATATAAATTAAATGATAACTAATACAAATGGGATTGCTGATTCAATATATCATTATATTTGGTTAAAGGATGATTCATTAATAAAGGAGTCTTTTTAATTGAAACTACCAGACACAATTTTATTCAAGAATGGAATGCCATAAGTTTGGTATTTTACAAATTAATAAGGAGAAATCCTCATGAAGAAGAATGATTGTCGTAAACCTGAAAATATCATAAATAATTTTTGTAATAATAGCAAATAAAATGGATAAGTTATTGCATATTATGTTTATAATAGCAAATATAATGTTAAAGATCCAATAAATGATCCTCATGAGATTTAGAAATCTAAATAGTTTGATGTAAATGAGAAGATCTGTATCTATTATTTGACTAAAGAAACATTTCCATAATTTATTAAAAATAATAATAAAGCTCCTGAAGGAATCCTTTAAAAATTTATTGATCCTATTGCTAATCATGAATAACTTATATAAGCTATATGGAGTCCCTCTGTTTGTATTCTTTCAAAGAAGTAAAACAATAGGGATCTATATGACATGTAATTTGATCCTTATGGTAAATACTAATTCTATTCTAAATCTAGAGAGATGTGCTACTTTTGATGGATGTGAGGCATATTCAAAAGTGATTCCACTAAGAGGCAAACAAATCTCACATGAAATTCGAAAACAATGTTAGATGATCATTTAAAAATTAACTAATTTAAGTTATGGTTAAACTAACATTTCAAGAATTGTAATGTACTTTAAACCAGACGAATAGAATAAAGTATGGTTTCTTTATTGTACATCTATTCGTTTATAAGGAGAACCAGATGAATAAATACAATAATATAAATCTATTTGGGGAAATTCTAATATTAAAAAAAATAATACTCCAATATCTTTCAATACTAATTTTAAACGTCCACATTAAATCAAAAATGTTTTGACTGTTAATACTATGCATCCAGTTACTTTAATTAAAAATATAGAGTGTGTTGAATGTGGATCACTTTGTTAAAAAGATGATTTATATCATTTGGCATATGAATTTATCATTAAACATTTTGAATTGAATCCCAATACAAATCCAATTATTAATGAAAAAATTTAAGTTCTGAAACCAAAATCTTTTTTTGTCAGTTAAGATCATATTAGAGATATACATTCTCATATACCTCCACTCATAATTAAACTTTATCCATAAATCACTGTAGCTCTATATGAATAAATGAAAGTTAATGATGCTTTTTTAATTAAAACAATACTAGTTTGTGAATCATGCTTTCTTAAATATAGTTCTTCAAATTCTACATTGTCTGGTGCAATTTAAAGAGTAACTAAATAAAAAAAAATGGCGCTTAGATTAAAAAGTGCTAGTATTTTGTAGAGAAAACCAGAAATTAAGGAATATTTATTTTAACAAAATTTAGATCTCATCAAATAAAAAAAATAAGCCTTTTTTAAATCTAATAGTAATAAATAATCATTTAACAGTAATTCTTAATTCTCAACAGCTTTAAATACTCATTCAGCTTCACATAAATATAAATTATCCCTTGAAAGTAATTTCGATCAAATTAGTTTTTAACTTAATACTGCTAGATGAATGATATAATTAAAAATTATTGTCAAAATCTTTCTAATACTCATTCTGATCAAATTTTTTTATAATTTATTTGTGTATAAGTAATTTATATATTTTGAATTATTCTTTTCAAAATTAGAAATTTCCTATACGCTTGAGTTATTCTATATATAATATAATAATAATTGGCAACTAAATTATATATTGTTTTTTTTTCGAATTAAAAGAAACTAAATTAGTATAATGATAACAATGTATTCAATTTTTTCAATTTGGTTCTTTAATCATCAAAAGTGCTCTTGAACTTTGAATAATATATATTAAATATTACGTGATCAAATAATAGCTATTAATTAAATAATTGGTCATATAAACATATTAAATAGAGAAGGAAGGCTTTGAATAAATAAATATAAATATAATATAGTTAGTTACTATGTTAGCTGAAAGCATTGAAGGAAATAAATTTGTTAAATTCAATGAAGAATAAGTTCTTGATAATTAAGATTAGTCGACAACAACTTAGTTTAAATAAAGCAGCAATGCTCTTTCTACAACATCTGCTTTCACTGAAAACAATTGTAAGAGCAAACCGATTAAAACATAAAGTATTTTTAAATAATATTAAAAAAGGAAGTCTCTTGACTTTAACTCCTTAAATCAGTTAAAGAAAGGGTTCTCAATCTTTGGCAGACTAAACTATCAGAAATGAAGATGATGTAGATATATTTTACAAATATAATAGCAATTTGTTTAAAACCATTATGAAAAAAAATATCTCTATATGATATATTGGTATGACTCTAATATTGATCATAAATATGAGATTCCTATTAAAACTTCTAATATTTAAATCACAATTGGTGATCTTATATAACTTGCAATAACTTAATTTAATTTATAAAATGAATATCTACAGACTCCATTTTCATCAGAAGTAAATAATTAATATTTGTATGAATTATACATTCCAAAAAAGAAAAAAGGAACTCCTAATGAAGATTTTCCATGTAATTATTTATCTAATTTTAGCCTTTGCCAATTCAACCTTGTTATCTCTAACAAATCAAAAAGAGTTTTCTCTTAAAGTTACTTTAAAATAATCGAAATATTCAACTAGTCTTTCCAATTCAAAACATTCATCAGCTATAAAACAAATTGAGAAATAAGGATAAGGTTCAAAAAATTCAAGCACAAAGAAGAAAAACTTATTTCAAAAATTATTCTTTTGTTGTAATTAGGCAGAAGATTATTGAAAAGTTACCCAGCACCTGTTTAATGCTTTATATATTTAACAAATTAATAAGAATTCATTAATTTGATTTTTGAGTCATCTTGCTGTTAAAAATTCTCTATTGATTTATTTGATTTCTTCTCATTTTAGAACTTCAAATCTTTTTTTTTTTATTTTATTTTCAATTAAATATATTAGTTTTCAATTACTTGAACTATCAATTTTAAGATAAGTCAAATTGCTTCATTTTTTTATAAGAAATGTAATTATAACTATAAAAATACAAGAAGCAGATTAAAAAAAGAGAAATTAGTTATTAATTAAAATTGGAGGATTAGAATTTAAAATTTTAAATGTAATAGATAATCAACTTTGAACAAAAGAAAATTATCAAAATTGAAAATAGAATTTTTATCCATAAATTAAAACTCAATAAGCTCAATAATTCTTTTCCCACCAAATAAAATAAATTTATTTATTGATTCAATTTTATGTTTAAATTTATATTAAATAACTTTATTTAATATATAGTATAAAATCATTTATAACTCAAAAAAAGGATAATTATAAATTTCAATGTAAAGAATATCAATAGTAATTCCTTTTAAATTTTATTGTACTATGGAATAATTAAATTCTAAATACTTTAAATAATTATGATTATACTTTTTTTATTTTATTTATTTAATTATTAGATAATCATTTCGAATTATTTTTATTAAAATCAGAAATAGTAAAAATAGGTGTTTGCTTTCTTAATTTAATATGTATAATCTATATAATTGAAAATATTATTTAAATATTTTATTAAAAATAATCAATGAATCCAAGTTACAGATCATCTTAGAGAAAATTGGATGGTATATAGTAATATATATTTAAAGGGCCAATAGTTAAATTGAGAATGAGAAAAATACTTGATATAAGTAAAATAAGGAAAGAGGAAGAACAGTTTTAATGTATGTTAGATTCATATGAACCAGATTAAAGGTATCATAAATATTTTATAACAGTGTGTCTTTTTAGGACAGAACCTTTTATAATAGAACTTTTAGATCTACTTCAAAAAGTATAAGAAAAGAGGAGGATAAAAAAATCTCTGAAGAATACACTTTGTATGGATTTTCTAGAATTAAAACAGATAGGACACCTCTAATATTGATTAGTAGAAAATAAAAAAGAAATCAACTTATAATAGATGAAGATAAGGAAATTAGTAATTAAGAATGGTTTGAAAAATGTAAACAAATGGATCCCCCTTAAGCCAAAGCTCAATTTTATGATAAAGTTACTAAGTAAAAAATATATTAAAATTAGTTCATATATATGGTATGATGTTACAGTGCTAGACTATGTTTAATAGACTAAGAAATTTTCAGTTTAGAAATTCCCAGAAGGATAAACAAAAAATGTTACTAGATTATCTATTCAGTTTTATAATTAAAATTAAGATATTTTTAAATAAGCCTAAAAAGAAAAGTATATAAATATATAAATATAGAGACTAAATTCGATCTTAGAAAAAAATAGAGTTGAAGAAAATTCAAGAAATAATAAATGTTAATGATGTGGAGGTTAATAAGTTACCTTAAAATTTGAAACATAGATTCATTAAAAAATTTTAATAAAATGATCGTCAAGGATTATTATCTAAACTTTTAGAAGAGGTGAATCAAATTTATACTTTTGATATGAAGAAATGTGTATTTTATAAGGATTTGCAGAAATACAAATAATTATATTTTCCATTACCAAAATATTAATATTACTAAAAGAATTAGTAATTAATAGAGAGTAATTAATCTTTTATGCAACAAAATACAATATAAGTTTGGCAGGTTATGAAATAACGATGTTTAAGATTTAATTTTCAAATAATAGATTTAAAAGAATTAGAATTACCTTTATAGAATATAGCTTTATTAGAATATTGTTAAAAAAATATTAAAAGTTATATTTATTAAGTAAATTTATAAAGGAAATATAAATAATCTGAAATATAAGATGTGTTACAAAAAAAATATAGTTTTTTAGGGAAAGACTAATAAGCTCATATGTAAAGTCCTTTGCATAGAATTTTAAGAAAACTTGATTTAATTTATGCAGATTTTCTTAAACACTTATTATCTATAAATACAGAAGCTATATTCAATATTTATTAATAATTTATACTTTAGCCAAATGATTCTTTTTACATAAATACATCAACATTTTTAGTTTTAGAGTTACAAGTGAAAGTAATTAAGTAAACAAAATAAAAAAAATAATTGGTTAAGAAAATGGAAAGATTGACAAAATAATCATTTAGAGAGAAAGAATAAGAAGTATAAAAAGAAGAGATTGAGTATGATGATAAAGTAACAATAAATTTAGCTGAGTATGATGTTATTGAATTGTTGACTTTTCCTTAAACATAATTAATAGAATAAATAAGTAAAGTAAATAAAATGGAAGGTGATATTATGACATTATTATTATTAAAAAAGGAATTGGCTTTAACACAATTTGATGTAGAATCATAAATATAACAATTGAATCCTACTATACAATTGATAAAATCAGAATATCAAAAATGTGAATAGGTACTTAAAAAGTTTTAAAAATTTGAATTTATTTTAAAGAGATTCAAAACAACTGAAGTGAATTAGCTGTTAGGAATAGATACAAAAAGGGTTCCATTATCTTAATTAAATTTTGATGAAATAGATGATAAGATAAAAAGTTTAGAATAAGCAAAAAATGAGATTATAAATATTTCATCTGATTCAATAAAGCTTGGTTTATTTACACTAAGATTAAAAGGAATAAAAGAATTTCTTATTAATAAAGCTGATGAATAGAAAAAAATGATAATGAATAGAATTCATGAAGTGATAATGTTTAATATAAAAAATATAGGAGAATAATATGAAGAAGTTTATAAGAAAGGATCACACATACCAGATACTGAATAAGAATTAATAGATTTGAAATTAATGCTTGATGAAATAAATGTTTAATTTGGAAAATTACGCTTTGAAATTAGTTAAATGTAAAAGTTAAATTATTATAATTTTAGAATGAAATATGTAAATATATTTGAAGAAAACTACTTTGAATATGATAATAAAATTATTGAATCTTATTATCATCTATTATATAAACCAAAAGATATAACTCAAATAATCCATAAAAATAAAGATGTAATATAAATAAAAGAGAAAGAGTTCTTAAAACGTTTAAAATAAGATGAATCAGATTTTAAAGAGACAATGTTTGAGATAGGAGAACTTTTTAATTAAATAAAATAATTTAATGATTATGGATAAATAAAAACTTATCTTCCTTAAGTTAATTAACTAACTAAATCATTTAATTATGCTAAGGAATAAATCAGCAGTTTTAATATTCGTTAATAAATGCTATCGATGCAATTAACCAATTAGGCAGAATTAGATAGCATAATATATTAATTCAAGCCATACGAGAAGTTATGGACTTTAGTGGTATACATCTCCAGCATATGCATTAGAGCAAATTCGAGTCCTAAAAGGATAAATGGATAAGCGGATCTTTCAAGTCATTGAACTATTAAGATATGATTTGGAAATTAAATTAGTTTGCTAGTGAGATAGGATCTGTGAGTGCTAATTTCGAAGTGGAAAATGATAATCTCAAAAATTTATTAAAAGGATTTCGTAAAGCTTTGGATTCCTTTAAAGATATATTATGGGTAGTTGAAGCATTAGCTATTGAAGCATTTACAAAAAAGCCTTAATTTTGGAGAGAACTATTTAGAGAATGTAAAATTAGCAATTTTGATCCAAAAGATGATTTTCCATTTTTTGTACTATTAAATAGAGGAATATTAAATTTTAAAGAATAAGTCATATAAATTTCAATTAGAGCAGAAAAAGGATGGAATATAGAAAAAAGATTGTAAGAAATGCATGAAAAGTTAAGTTAAGTTATATTAGAAGTAAATCCATATAGAGAAACATTTATATTTAAAAATTTAGATGAAATTTAAGTAATTTTGGATGAATAATTTAGTGTATTAACAATTTTAAAAGCATAACCTCATATAAAATTATCAGTTGGATAAGCTAATTAATTGGAATATAAAATATTATTAATTTAAGAAACTTTAGATTTTGGTATGAAATGTTAAAAATAATGGATGTATTTAGATCCAATCTTTTCAAGTGAAGATATATAGACAAAATTAGTAGAAGAAACAAAGAATTTTAAATTAGTTGATTAAGCTTTTAGAAAATGTATGAAAGAGTTTAAAAAAGAACCATTGTTGTGGGAATGTGTAGATAATGATAAAATGAAAATAGATTTTAGTAATGGAGTAATGTTATTAGATTAAATTTAAAAAAGTTTAACTGTATATTTAGAATAAAAGAGAATCGTTTTCCCAAGATTTTATTTTGTTTCAGATGAAGAATTAGTTCAAATTCTATCTCAAACTAAAGATCCAACATAAATATAAAATCATATATACAAATGTTTTGAAGCTATGCATAAATTATAGTTTTCTGCAACTCATGCAATTACAGGATTTCAATCTAGTTAAGAAGAAAAGATTAAATTATTTTAAGATGTTAAAGTTATGGAAGGTTCAAGAAAAGGAAATGTTGAATTATGGTTGTTAGATTTATAAAGCGAGATGAGAAATGCAATCAAAAATTATTCATATTAAACTTTGATAGATTTAATATCAACTAAATAAGAATTTATAGCGAAATGGCCTGCTTAATGCATTTTATTGGCTAATCATATAAGATGGACTCGTAATACTGAATCAGCTATAAGAGGATAATAAAAATTAAATTTAGGAGTATTTTGGGAATAATTAAATAAAGAATTACATGAAACTGTTTAATTAGTTAGAAAAGAAAATAGAATTATTCCTAAAACTATTTTAGAAGCAATGGTAGTTATGGAAGTACATGCTAAAGACATAGTATAATCTCTATATAAATAAAATGTTGAAACAATTTTCGAATTTGCATGGATATCATAATTAAGATATTATAATGAAGATAATAAAAATGTGTC